TTTTTTATTTTTTATTTTTTTATTTTTTTATTTTTTTATTTTTTTATTTTTTTATTTTTTTATTTTTTTATTTTTTTTTGTTTTTATTTTTGTTCTTTCGATTACAAAATAAAATAATAAAATCTATTATCAAACATATATCTGTCATCAAAATTATCTAAAATATCAAGAATTTATCAAACAAGTCTGGTATTACGAAGACTCATATATAGGTATTTCGCATCTTCGGAATTGAATCTTTAAATATTTTTAAACACTGAATGACCTGCAGAAAAATTTTATATATAAACACTACACGAAAGTTAAATTCAAATTGTGAATACATTTTATTAATTTTATGATAATAATGGGCCACCACAAGATATCTCATTATGTAGTATTAAAACCTCAAAATTACAGTTAATATAAGAATTTCAGTTTCGAATAATGATAATAAACATTTGATTGCGATAATTTTCGTGTTCGAAATATTTATTCCACCCTAATTAACTAATTTTATTCGTTTCGGTGAATTGATCTGCTAATCAAAAATCCACTTGATTTGTTTAAATAGTTCCTTAACCGGTTCAATTAAGTCAACGTGGTTTAACAATTTTTTGTTGATAGGTAATTCCTCGGATCTAGGAGGTCATAAATTTATAGAACTAAATGTATGTTAAACACAAAAAAAAAAATTCCAATTTCCCATCATTGTTATTTCTGTTTTCATCACTATACTTGACTTTTGTAATTAACCATTCAACACCTAACAATAGAATATCATAAATATTAAAAGAATTAATAATATTCAATAATATTCTCCCCTTTTCTGTTAATTTTCTTTAAAATTTGATTTAATGAACATACCGGTTTGAGACAATACATTTCGTTTCAATACAAGTCAGCATCATCATATTTACGTTTTTTAGTATCGGGTTGCATAGATGCATGTGCTTGGACAGTACTTTGACCAAATGCCTTGATTAAGGTCTTCTTTTTTTTTTTTTTTTGCTTCAGTTACATAAATAATTGTATCGTCCATTTTAATTACTTAATCAATGGGTCCCTTGCCGTAACTCCCGCAGACTTCATAAACAGAATAAATTATTACATTTTCACCAAAGGTAGATGCCACACACGTATTATTGATTCAATAATTAATAACGGGTGATCTCATTTGCAGTATTGATGTGTGAACTTGTCTTAAAATTCATCAAAAGTGTTTCAATTACATGGTTTCTAACATCTTCTGATATCTCCAAAGTTTTTATCTCAATACATGATAAATTTAAGTAACAATCAACCGTCAACCCAAAAAGATCTTTCACCTTTTGAAAATTATATGACGAAAAAGGTTTTTGTGCTAAAAAAAAATATAGAATTTTAAAGAATTAGACAGATTTTGATAGAAGATATTTGATGAATTAAATGTAAATGTATAGATAATATCTTATATATATCCATAATTATTTCCAAATTCACTCTTGATTCATATTATCCTTTTGGGGAGACCAATATACATTCATTAATAATAAAAATAATAATAATGAGTTTACCTTCTTATTTTTATAATGTGAAATTTCATATTTCAAATCATGCCATTTATCAATAGAAGGTTTTGACGATAATTATTTCTTATTTAATTATTTTCCTTAAATCTAAAAAAATTAAATCTAAAATAAATAAATTAAATAAATTCCAATGCATTAAAAACATACGATTAACTAAATTAAAAACTAACTGACTGACTGACCTTCATCTGGAATAATACGATTTAAAACTTTAGTCCAATCTTGTTCATCATTAAGCACATCTTAATCATCTTCCAAAATCATCTGTTCAAAATAATTCTCAATAATTTCCTAAAGATAATCTATAATCATGAATAATTTGTACAATTTGTTAATGTCAAATGAATGTAATATATAAATTTATTCTTTTTTCTCTCAAATAATAGGGTGATGAATAAATATTCTTATATAAATAAACTTTTTTTTTATGTTGTTGGGCACACACTCTATCATAAAAAAAAAGAATAATAAAAATCATGTAAAAAATAAAATTCTTTATGAAATTCATGGTGCCTTACTTTTATAAACTTTCAGATACGCTTTCTTTCAATTTACGAGAACGTTCATCGCAAATCCAACAATAATGAACTCCACGTTCTGCCAGAATATATCCAAATTAAATATTTAAATCCAAAATTCTCTACATATTTTATATTTCGATAATTTAAAAAATAATAATTCAAATATTTTAAAATAATCAATTATTTCATTAATAATTAATTACCTCTGAGAGAAAAATCAAATATCTTTATAGCGACAGCCATGAATTGCCAACATCTAAACATCTCCACCTCTAAAAACAAAACAAACCAAAAAATAATAATAAAATAAAAAATAAAAATAATAATAAAATAAAAAAATAAAAATAATAATAAAATAAAAATAAAAATAATAAAATAAAAATAATAATAAAAAATGAATATAATTACTTTCAACATGCATGAATATTGTCATAATCTGTCATATCAATATCAAAAAACTAATTCTTTTTCAACAGGTTTAAATGCGGATGATGGTCTTTTATCTTTTGGCTAAGCAAAAATGAATTTAAAAAAAAAAAAAAAAAATTCTACCGTCAATACCACATAAATTATTAGTTACTTACTTTCGCTGAATAGACTGCCCCATTTTTAATGGACATTGATTAACAATTTCTGCTTTCAATTCTTTATTATTATAGAATTTTCTTTTATTAATTTGTAAGTACCTTTTTATCCCATTTTCTTATTTGTATATATAATAATAATAAATTAATTCCAACTTATTTAAATGAATAATATTTCAAGTAAAAGAAAACTGGCTCAAAGTAAAGAAGAAGAATCCGAGAAAAAAAAACAAGTGCATTAGAAACACGTATACCAAGTCAAATAGCTAAATGTATATGTAAAATTTTAATAAAGATTTGTTAATATAAATTTGATTACATGTATATTATTATTATATCAAATAGCTAAATGTATATGATTAACAAAATCTGATTATATAAATTCGATTTAACTTTAATAAAAATTTTTGCAAAATTTATAAACTTAAAAATGATAATAATAATAATTTGAAGAATCAACCTTACGTTTTACTTCCCAATTCTAATATTTTTATTTCAAATCAAATGTAAAATTACTCATCAACAAATAAGAGCTGTGAATCAAGCAACACATGAATATATATTAGATGTACACTTCATTTCATTGGCTTGATGAACGTATTATCTCCTCTCTCAAAGTCATCCAAAATTTGGTAAATGCTGTTTACAAGGCAAAGTTATTTTGTATAATACGTAATTAGATTAGATCTGTGTTCATAATATTATCTAAGACTTCATATATTAATAAATAATATCCATACCATCAATTCAGTTCGACGGCATTGTTTAAATGACTTTGCAATTTAAAGTATTTATTTTTGAAAAAAAAAAATAATAAATATGATTAAATAAAATAAAATAAAAAATGTTCCATTTTTAATTTCATTACGTTATAAACGATTTATTATTGGAAGGATTTACTTGCCCAAGTTCACTTTTGTTAGCTTTTTATTGATTAGATTATGTTCCACAAGATTAGAAAATATTTTGAAATTCTTTTACTTTGGTCTTCCCGATCGGATGAAAGAATCTCGTGACATGACCTAACGTGACTTCTCCGGATATTCATGTACCGACAATCCGATGCAAAAAAAAAAATTCTAACATGTTATCTGTTTTATAACAAATAACCATCAGTCTTACATCCAACAAAATTACACGAGTACGTCAAACACTATTCTGACAAATAATGGAATATATTACGGGATTTTAAACGAAATGCAATTTTTGAAGATAAATCAATACCTGAAATGTCTTGATACCATTGCGAGCAGAAGAGAAGGTAAAAGTAAGAAGTAGGCTGGGTTTCTTCTTGATAGATTTAGAACGGAAATTAAATCTTTTTATGATTTTGTATTGAAAAATAATGGTGTGATAAGCTGGTACCCACTTGGCTTCCTTTGTCATTTGAGGTCATAACAAAACCAGTGTTCGGGGGGCACAGATGACCTATTCGGTTTTCTGATGTTAAAAGGCTACTTGCCAAACCGATACTGGACCCATTGGGCTCAAATTAATCCGGTGGGATAAGAATATCTCCCAATTTTTTATTTTAGTCACAAATTAACGAAAAATGGATGAAAGAACGCCACGTAAGCAGGTTCTCCTCAACCAACCAACCAGCATTTATGGAAGTTGCAAGTGGTGGGATTATCTATGGTGGACGACCAATAACGAAACTTTTGGTACCAATTTATCTTAAATAATTAAATCTAAAAGAAATCATGATATATGAGTATTTTTTAGTTAAAGTTTAAAATCAATTTATTTTAATATAGGATGATCGCGGGATGACAAAAAAAAAACCATGTCAAACCAGAAGTGGAAGGATAATCACGAACCAAGAAGAGGAAGTAACGGAAATAAAGGAATTAGATATTGATATCCTTGAAAAGTCTAAAGAAAAATATAATCAAATGAAGGATGACTAAAATGGACGTTTAAATGTACAGGACGTGCAGTAGATGATGTTCTATATTGAGTATGTCGGATTTTACATCTGAACAGTAAGTACAGAGAATTAATATTTTAGATTTTTTAATTTTTTAGCAATCTGATAACCAACTAACTTAACTATTGCTTAACATTACAATAGTTCAATAGTTTAATTACTGGTTTACCGCCATATCCTGATGTGGCACATGATAATGATCTGGCTTTGAAAATATGTAATGGATTACGACCGAAAAATTAATTACACAAATGATCATGCGATGTTGGGATGTTCGAGTTACCCATCGACCCACTTTTAAAGAATTATGTGAAGAATTGAATAAATATCGTGATAATTATACGAGCGAAATTATTAGTGAAATAGCAATTCAAATTCAAGAAGCAGAAGAATTTTCTGAAAATCGAACAACAACAACTGATACAACAACCACAACTCCACTTGATTATAAAACACATCCACAAGCAATTTATACTAGTGGACTTCTCAACTTTTCAAATTTTCCAAAACCTGTAAATGAATCAAATTTTGAAAAAGAGTTTCAAGAGCTAACAGAATCTTTTTCTCATATAATTACTAGTAAATATCAATTATATATTTTATTTTATTCATTTTTATTTCGTAATTAATTATATTAATTTATTTTTATTTTTATTCAGATGATGATATTGAAGATTTTTTAAATATAATAAATATTATTATAAAAGTAATTCGATTAACTTAGTTTGGAGTCAAGAGATAATTCATATTTTATAATAAATTAATTTTATATTTATTTTTATCTAATAAGATATTTTATCATATGAATTTTTTTTAAGAGAATTTTTAATGACAAGGCAATGTGCCCTAGAAGAGATTAACTCTGTGGGAATCGCAATCCAAAATATGTTAATACCTATGAAACTTACCATTATTGATTCCACTGAAAAAAACTTATTGAGCACTGATTTCTTTAAAAAAATCCAAGCACAATGGGACTTCAAAACTTGCAAAATTAAATTACAATATGAAGGAGAAGTAATTAATGTGGATACTACTTATTCTGATCACATCAACTTACAAAATGACAAATATAGTGATGAGGATAATGAAAATGAATATGAAAATGATGATGACATCCAAGATGACTTAGAATATGAATTGGAGGACCTTGAGGAATGTGAATCCTTCCAATCTGAATCTTATTGTCCTCAGTATGACAATAAACTGCCAAGACATGTATTCGATAAAACTCTGCTGTGTTCTTCACAAATTGTGAAAGGGAAGTTGCTACAAATAATGTTAACTATGAAGATGAAAAATCTAACACACAAGGACCTTTTAATGAACAACAAACAACTATTGCTAATAAACTCTTTACTGATTACAATGGTGTATTTGCTGAAAATATATCTGAGGAAGGACAAACAATTGAATTAATACAAACACATGTTGCTAAACATGAAATTCAATTCAAGGATACTGAACCTATCAAACAAAAGACTTATCAAATTGCCCTATCTGAAGGAGATTTCATTAAAAGTGAACTCGATGCCATGTTGGAAAAAGGAATTATTCATGAATCCACCAGTCCAGTTGTTATAGTTTTCAAGAAAAATGGAAAAAAACAAATCTGTATTGACTAGTATTAGAAATCGAGAATACAAAATAGCAATTAATTGACTATCAACTATATAGTCAAGTACAAATATTAATGGATGATTAATCACGATTATACTTGCACGCAAAATTATTTTGGGGCCCCGAAATTGCAATTTCGGGGAAAAAAGTTGAAATAGTTTTTCATAGAAGACGAAATTATTTTACTTAAAACCCGAAATTTTTTGACCACCCAGATTTATTCTTTGATTAAAGATACATATAACTAGATACTTTTTTTACTTCCATATATAGAATAGATTTTGTATAAATCTCAAAAAGTTGAAATACCTCAAAAATCCAAAATTAATTTTGGGAACATGTATAATCACGATTAATTGATAATTATAAAAATCATGATTAATTGTAAATAATCATGATTATCGCTATTTTTGAAATAGTCTAGTCAGCCAATTGTTAATCAAAAATAATAAATATAATTAAAAATCAAAAACACGTACATGTTGTTAACTTTATTTCTTTAATTTTTATTATATATATTTATTATTCTATTATTAGGATAAACCTTTTAACTTTAACATATTCATCTAATTGCTTTGTGATCTTTTAGACAATAGTTTTCCTGTTATTAGTTGTTAGTTTATTGTGTTCAGTAAAGGTGAACAACTGTCAACAATTTGGTGGTGACTGTGAGATTCGATAACTTCATTTTCTTATAATATTCTTTATGAAAGCAAAAGCATGAAATACTTGTGTAGAAAAAATAATCAAAATTAAAAATCAAGTAGTTAATGAGATTGTTAATAGAGAAATAGTCAAATTTGAAAAAGATCCAAACCACAAGAGTTATTATATCTCAAAAGACCTTAACCAAGTAAAAGTTTTTCTTGATCAAATAAAATATCATGTGTGAATTAGGAATAACATTTTAATTGACAATGGTTACAGTTTCTTTAACATTTCTAAAAAATCTAAAAGAGATTGACATATCCTGAACTGAACTAATTAAAGTGACGAATCCTTATCAATGTGATAGACTGAATTAACAATATCAATGAAGTCAGTTCTAACCTACTAATCCCTTTCCAATTTCAACATGACCATGTTATCAATTTTATCAACAAAATTGAATACCTACTAGATTAAATTCTTTACTTCCTTCAAATAATTTTGATATCCCTCAACTTCGTTAAGAAAATCTATTACCAGTATCTACTCCAACTCAACCTTTTCACAAACCATAACAGACTTTGAGCACTCTTCTTCTCGAAACCTATCACCTGCTGAGGATAACTATCAAAGTGTTTTTGAATCAAATAATGACAATACAACTTATAGACAACTAGTTGGAAGTTCAAGAGTATACATGTTTCCAAAATTGATTTTGAATTTTTGAGATATTTCAACTTTTTGAAATTTATACAGAATCTATTCTATATATGGAAGTAAAAAAAGTATCCAGTTATATATATATTCAATCAAAGAATAAATCTGGGTGATCAAAGAATTTTGGATTTTAAATAAAATAATTTTGTCTTCTATGAAAAACTATTTCAACTTTTTTCTCCAAAATTGCAATTTCAGGAATCCAAAATAATTTTGCGTGCAAGTATATTCTAATAACTTTTAGTGACCAAGAAGCTAATAACCAATTTCAAATTAGTGACATAAGTAAAGACTTAGAAGAATTAGATCCTGGTTACCCCTTGAAAAATGCTGATGACTTTTTTAATAATTTAGTAAATAATATTAACAATAATAATATTATTATAGCCCCTAACTTTAGTAACAGTGATAATAGTAATAATGATACCTCTGAGAAAGAAGAAATATTTATCTGTATAAAACTACTTAAATTTGCTGGCACAAATAATAAAGACTCAAAAGAATGACTTGATAACTATAGAATGACTAGTAATGCTAATAGTTAAAATGACGATCAAATGAAAAATGTATTTGAAACCTATTTACAAGGTGGAGCATGAGAATGGTATCTGGAGTATCAAGCAACACATGATAATGCAAATTGGACTACTATTAGACAAGCCTTTATAACAAATATTGTAATAATGATTTCCAGGAACAATAGCTAGAATAATTATACTACCTTAAACAAAGAAAAGGAGAGCCTATTGAAGATTATTATTATCAAGTTAAGAAGATTGTTGCAAAAGCCACACTTGTTACTAACGTTACCCTCCCGTATTTTGTTCGAGGACTATTACCTAAAATTAAAGCAGTTGTTAAAACTCATGCACTTGTAGACTTAGATACAGCTTTACTCAAAGCTAAGCTTTATGAACAAGAAAAAGAAAATCCTAAATATCACAAGAAGACAAAGAGATATGAAAGTTCCAGTGATAAAGACTCTGACAGCTCAAGTAAAAAGAAAAAATTTAAAAAGAAAAAGAAAAATTGAGTAAAAAGAAATTCTCTAGATGAATTAACTAAATAGTTCAATAAATTGCAGATCAATTTGATACAACAGGTTGAAGGATTAACCAAAAAAGTTAAATACCAGAATCAAAGATAAAACAATAACTTTCATGAATATCCCAGAAATAATAACATTAATAACAACAATAACAATAACAATTATAATAACAATAGTGATCCATACAGATGTTATAACTGTAATGAGGTTTGAGATTTTGCTCATGATTGTTTATCTGAAAAAAAAACTTATTCCCAAAATCAAAACTAAAGGAATGTCAGTTTTACCAAGTATAATAATAACAGTGATGACAAATATGAAGCCTATGAACTACTTCTTTACACAAACTAAGTAGATCTCCAAAGAATCCTGTAACTCCAAAAGTTACACCTGTTACCAAAGTTAAAAATCAACAACCTGAAGTTTTAGTTGATTTTGAACAAGACTTCTACAAAAATAAACCTATGTAGAAAGATCTGCCTGAAGTAAATCTAAAGGCTTAAACTGAAAAGAAACCTAAAATGAAATGGCGACCATCAATTATTGATTAGATGACTCCATATGATATTTCACAAGACATACTTTACATACAGTCCAGTGCTAAAATAGGGCAACTGTTAAAATATTCTGATCAGAAAAGGAATTTAACAAAAATCTTAAAATGACCTGCACAACAAAAAGAAACTAATTATGTGAAAACTGATGAAGTCAAGTGTACTACTGTGACTAAATACTATGTATGAATTAGAAAGAATCCTGTGGTCACTGTACTTGATTTGAGTGCTGCTGTTAACATTATTATTAACAAACTACAAAAGAAATTGGGGCTTACTATTGATGATCCATTGAAAATTGTGATTATTATTACCAATGGAACTAGACAATGTGTCTTAAGACAAATTGACTATGTCCCTATAGATATACAAAACTTGCTAGTTGTAATGAAA